AAACTGAGGAAGCATCAAGACAATGTAAGAAGACTTTAGTAAACATTTTTGATAAAAATATATCTAAAATCAGTGTTTCATCTCTGTATGATCTTCCAAACTTGATGTCTGCATGTGTGCTTGTGAAAAGACTTGAGTCTTAGTCCTATTATCATATAGAGCCATCTGCCCTGTTAAAATCACATGGGCCTCCAACATAACTCCCAAAAAATAATTTTAAAAAAGGAGCAAGAAAGTTTAGTTATATGCTTAAGCTTTTGGAAATTTATGGGCTAAGCTAGGCGTGGTTATACATACCTGTAATCTTAGGACTGGGGAGGTTGAGCAGGAGGATCGCAAGTTTGATACCAGCTTTGGCAGTTTAGCAAGATCCTGTCTCAAAAAGTAAAAAGGTGTGGAGATAAACTGTAACTCAGTGGTATAGTACCTCGAATTCAGTCTCCCAATACCACCAAAAAAAAAAAAAAAAAATTGTGAGCTAGGCTATTGCCTTAGCAGCCTTTCTGTTATGTTACCCTTTTAGCATTCTTTGCCCTGGTCTCTCTCTTCTAATTCCTTAATGATGACCCTCTGTCTACAGATCTTTTAGACAGTACCATATGTAAGCCTAGATCTTCAAGCAGTACCCCAATCCTAAAATCCCAGTTTTCCCTTTCTCTAAACAAGCTGTTCTGTATTCTATTCCCTGAGAACCTGTGCTTAGCTAGCTATAGTTAGAATGGCAAGGGTATTGAGGTTAACTCTGTTCTTGTGTGTGAAGTCTTAATAAGAATGGCGTAACTGTTTTAATATCTTAACAGAAGAATTACAGATATAATGTTTTATCCCAAAACAATGACTCTATAGTTGAACTTTTGATACCATTATTCTGCTGGAGCAGAAGGCAGAGGGAAGGGCTGGGGATATAGCTCAGTTGGTAGAGTGCTTGCCTCACATGCATAAGGCCCTTGGTTTGATCCCCAGCAATAACAATGACAACAACAACACACACACACAGAAGGCAGAGGAAGTCTTTCCAGGAAACTTCATGTTCATCACATAGCTATCTCCTTATAAATATAATCATTATTCATATAAATTGATGATGTGTTAACCTCACAAATACCCCCCTCACTTTTAGAGGACAGTAATAAAAGATTCAGAATATTATGCTTTTATTCTGCTTATGACCAAGAGAGAAAGAAATGAAACCTTGGAGGTGGTTACTTTTATTTTACTGACTTTTTAAACATATAGTAAATAAAAATGTTTATATGCTTATTTTGGGATGAAAGGTATATTGCTTGTATACTTTCTTGGAATTGCATAGGAGAAACTTGAAAGGATGAGAATAATAACAACAATTTATTTTTTATTTATTTTATTTATTTTTTAGTTTTAGGTAGACACAATATCTTTATTTTACATTATGTGGTGCTGAGGATTGCACCCAGCACTTCATGCATGCTAGGCGAGCACTCTACCACTGAGCCACAATCCCAGCCCCAGAGAATAATAACAATTTAGAACTTAGGCAGTCTATAATTTTTTTTCCCCAGTGCTGGGAATCAACCCCAGGCCTTGCACTTGCTGGGCAAGCAGTCTGCCACTGAGCTATGTCCCCAGCCTGTACCATATTTATTTTGAAAATTTTGAGTTATATTCCATAATAGCTATAGCAGTAAATATTTTCAAGCATATTATCTTGGTAAATTTAATCTGTAGTAAAAAATACCTTCTTGGCAAGTAGACAACAAGGTATTTGCCAATGCCTGAATTAGCTCTATAGATTATACCTATGCATAAGTGAAATGGCTAAGTAACCATTTGGATTTGGAAGAAATGTGTTATGGTTGTTTGATAGGTATTGTCTAATTCTGTCTATCCTGGGTTGGTGTTTTTGTGTTTTCTTTGTTTTTTTGTTTTTTGTTTTTTCTATTTTTGTTTTTGTTTTGTGGTACTGGGGATTGAACCCGGGTGTGCTCTAACCATTGAGCTACATCCCCAATCCTTTTCAAAAATTTTATTTTTATTTTGAAACAGGGTCTCACTAAGTTACCTAATTTGGTCTTGAATTTACAATCCTCCTGCCTCAGTGTCCTGGGTAACTGGGATTATGTGTGTGTGTGCCACTATGCCTGGCTCTATGTACTCCATTATTAATAGATGGTCATTAAGGGCATAATGTTATTCCCTTGACCTTTTTATCTCTGGCATATATCAGTATTTTAAATTCAGAAATAAATTGTGTGTGTGTGCACACATGCGTATTTGTGTATGTGTGTGTGTATGTGTGTGTGTGTGTGTACACTACTCTATAAACTCAGTTTATCGCACCAATTCTTTGCTTTGCTGTTAATTATCACCTGAAAAGTTCTTCCTTCTGTACTTTCTGTACTCTGTTCTAGTTTTTGCCAGTTTTACATCTTCCGTACAACCTTTCCCTCAACTGCTGCATCCTACATTTATCTTGTCTTACTTTGACCTTCTCAAATATAGACTTTTTATTTTACTCAAAGTAATCTTGGCTTGAGGTATTCCATAGTTATCATGCATATGTCTTTCTTTCATTCATTATAACATTACACTCCTTGAAAGCAAGGACTGTTTTATTCATTTAGTGTTAGGCATATAATAACTGTTCAAAATATAAAATTTACTGATTTGAATTTTTTAATGTAATCTTTATACCATCAATCCAATCCATCTATTTTGTGATCCATCTATTTTGACTAAAAATATATTTAGTCAAATATATTTTTGACTAAAATGCTAGATATTTTTTCTCTCCAGGTTTATAAACTGCAACAAAAAATTCAAAACTCAAAGATGTTGAGCAACACTTCAGTTATTCAACGAGAAGATAGCAACCTTAAAGGATCAAAGAATATTAAAAATAGCCCCAGAAAATGTTTGAATGAAACTAACCCTTTTCAGAAAAACAACAATTTTCATCCAGTACAAGTTCATAATCTTCAAATGAAATTAAGAAGAGATGATATCATGTGGGAACAGTAACACAGTAGCAAAACTGTCACCTAAAATGAACTTTGTCAGTAAGATCTTGAATTGTCTAAAGTGTTTTTAATTTAAAATAACTGTGAAATTTTGAATTATGTTTCTGGTCTCTATAAAACACAAAGTTGTTGTATTCTTTAAAATTAATGCCTAATGACCTAGTAAGAATCCCAAATAATAAATGATTGCCCTTTTCTTTCTTATTTTCCAAAGTCCCTAACCTAATCATGCCTTAAGAATATTGTTCAGTTTGCAGATATCTTTAGCTGAATCTAAAAATGTGTACCAGATATTCAAAACTGAGTTAAATCTGAGATATAAGTATGTTCTACTTCTTCACTTACTGCTCTTATGACCTTATAAACCAATGTTAAATGCAGAGGATTTGGTGAAGGTCTCTTAAGTTTCTTGATGGTGCCTCCCTAAAATGTTTTATAGCTGTAAAATTTTTTTTTCTTGGAAAGGGAAAAGCTTAATAGTTACAGTTTTGTGAAGAAGACTTTAACCCAAGTTTTATGTGATGATTATAAATAAGAACTCATAGTGCTTTTTATTTTGTTTTGTTTTTTAAAGAGCGAGAGAGAGAGAGAGAATTTTTTAATGTTTTTTTATTTTATTTTTTTTAGTTTTCAGCGGACACAACATCTTTGTTTGTATGTGGTGCCGAGGATCGAACCCGGGCCGCACACATGCCAGGCGAGTGTGCTACCGCTTGAGCCACATCCCCAGCCCCTCATAGTTTCTTAATTTGTAGAAGATGGAAACTCAGCTAATGCTATTCCTCTTTTTTTACAAATCTGGTTTTTTTCAATACCAGTGATCAATTTTGTCTTATTTTTTATAACTTTTGTTATAATTTTTCTTTTCATTGTATATAATAGTCACCAATGTTAATTAAGAATATGAATTTCTAGAACTCCTGAAAAGTAGTATATTTTTATTTTAAAAAGAAGAGGAAGTTAGTCATTTAATTACCTCATTCTGAAAAAAAAAAGAAATATGTTTTTATATTTTAAAATCAGTGATGTCACAGTAGATTTTCTTGTATATGCGTGCATTATAATAAACTTACACTTGTTTACCTATCTTTCCAGAAACCTATAGAAACTAGTACAATTCTGAACTCTTGGCTTCTCAACTCTTCTGGGGCAGCTAGAGCACTGGAGTCATCAGCTGTGGTAGAAGTAGACGATAGACAGGAAAGCTGTGCTGAAAGACAGAATTCTGCTCAGAACATAGGGTAACCATTTTTAAGAGAGATTGATTCCAGAGGGACAGAATTGGAGGAGTATGCTTACCAAATTCCCTGAATTCGCAGCAAAGGTGGGAGACTGTTCAGACTACAAATGTGAAAGAATTTTTAGGTCAGGATCCCAGGGAGATAAGAAAAGCAATGTTTAAAAAAGACAATCTTTCTCTTTTCCTAGGAAATCCCAAAAAAGTCTGTGTAGGGAAAGTGTGTAACTGTGAACCTTCCAAGGAAGAGAACCAATATTCCTTGTAATCATGAGGGAAAAAATGCCATATTAGAAAGACTTTTTCATACCTAGAAGTGAGGAGGTATCTGAAAATAGGTAAATTGATAACTTGAAATTATACTTGAAAGTAATTAATGGCAGAGATCAAGGTTTCTCTCCCTTTGGTTTAAATAGTGTATGTGCCCCTGACTTGCTTTACTCCACCTCCCCCAGCAGCTCCTCAGACCTGGAGATGTTTCACAGGGTGTCCAACTAAACTTCTAAACTCCGTTTTATCACCTCATTCTTTTTTCTGCCTTACCTTTTCTCCTCCAGGATGTGAGTTCTTTAATTTAAACTTTCAGGAAGTAGAAATCCACACCGTCATATTATGGCCCTTTATTTCTGTGCCTTTGTTTCCTCTGAAATATAGTTTATCAGTAAAGCCATTCCTTATGAAAATGTATTGCTAAAACATTACCATAAAAATTTAAAAGTCATTTTATAAAGAACTTGAATATTTCAACTAAAAATTGAAAATTTTCTCAAAATTAATATAGTAGAAAAAAATGACTTCAGAGTTAAGAGACAGGTTCAGATTATGACTGCACTGTTTTAGTTATTTGCAGAGGTCAAATAGCTTCCTAGAACTTCAGGTTTTCATCTATAAAGTAGGAGTTAAACTAATTCTACTTCACAGGGTTGTTGTGAGGAGTAAACAAATAACTCATAAAAGCACCAGCAGAAGAGTTGGCCTTTAGTAAAACTTATCAATGAGTGTTTTTTGAATCTGGTAAAAAGAAAAAAGAAAAGAAGAAGTTGTAGAACACAAGTTTGTATGGGTTAAAGTCTGAAAGCAAAAGTGGGAATGTTCCAGTTCATTTATTTATTTTCTTTGTTTCTGTATGCCTAGAGGGAAATAAGTTTGGCTTGTTTCCTGTGCCAGATTTCTAAAGGGAGGAGTAAAGAATCCAGTCCTACCATGGTGCAGCAGTACATAATCACACATAGTAACTTGGTGTGGAGTTTGTTTTGGTTATTGAAATGACAATTATTCCTAGGAAACAGGAAAGAATGGTTTCTTATTGCTCCACAGCCACTAAACTAAAAGCCTGTCTTTGCTCACAGACCCTCTGCTTGCAGGGTGGCTGACTTTTTAGAGGGTGGAGCAAAAGATTTGTTTCCTGCTTGGGGCATTCTATGGTCAGTGTACAAGGGTTGCTGTAGCAACCCCACAGCTGTGCTCTACTTAGCAGAACCGTGGTATGTTTTCATTGATTTTGTTCACTTAAGTGAAAAACAGAGTTGTTTGTTTTCTGTTTAATTAGAAATTGAAAAAAATGGAATTTGAACTTTCTAGCCAAGGCAGGTCTCAACTTTGATAAAACTGTGACACTAGATGTTCCACTGTTTGAAGCATCAGGTATTGTGAATATTCTGATACTGGAAATGGGAATTAAAATCTGGAATTAACTGTACACAGGTGGGTCATTGGCAACCCAGCTATTTTTATCAGATTGCAACTAGAAAAAGGAGTGTTGAAGGAAGTGCTCAGTTTTCAACAATGTAAGATCAAAATAAGTATATGGGCTATACTTGAAAATTAATTTTGCAATGTTGTGGTAATTTTCTTACTTTAAATGTATAATTTCAACTATAAATAGTATTCTTGGAGTATAAGGATTCAAAATAATTTCTAATTATCTTCTGTATTTCTGAAGTGTCTGTTGTGATATTGCCTTTTTCATCCCGTATGCTAGTAATTTGAGTTCTCTCTCTTCTTCTATTCGTTAGCATGACTAAGGGTCTGTCGATTTTATTTATTTTTTCAAAGAACCAACTTTTAGTTTTGTCAATTTTT